CTTTATAATAGAAACAACATCTAGGCAAGATAACATTCTACTTTCAATCCTTGTTTGTAGCTTCTTTGGAGTTGTGATGCTAAAGAGATGGAGGACCAACAACCAGTGGATTCGACTCAAGAGCCTTCATTTGCTGACCTGCTGGATGAGACATTACAATTGTCACAACCTTCAAGATGACGTAATCGAGATGAAGTTCTTCAAGAACGACATGTTCTTCCTCGAATATATGGCAAGATATAACGCGTTTGGTATCACGACTTGGAAAGGGACTCCCGATGTTTGGTGATTTTACTAGAGGTAGGAACAATTTTTGATGGTGTTCCAAATGTTCTATTCGAAGGAAGTTATGAAGGCCTCAACAATGATCAAATAACTGGGTGGACTTTCCACCCTGGTATAGGACACTACCGATGGTTGAGAGGCCCTATCAATCATCTTCGAAAAAAACAAAGATCAGAGTATGTGGTGAATACAATTCATTGCATCATAGATTTCCTCAACATATGATGACCGCTCCTCATGGAACTCGTCCCTAGAAGGAGAGGGCAATGTCATGGACCTTCTCATGTAAGCCAATAATTACATATATAAATAAGTAGAAGTAAGTAAAAGTAGATAAAAGTAAGCTAATTCTTTAGTATTTGGTATGAAAGCTTTCTAGAAGCTTCATAGACACTGCTTTGACTTTATAGGTATCTTTAATTGACTTTTTGGATTAGAAACGTGGTCAACAAGTTGGCCATGTGCCATACATATTGTTAGCTTGAAGACCAAGCTAAAAATATGGCTCACACGTAGAAAAACTTGCTTTATAAGTCAAGACATGTGTCCTACAAAGTCAACACATATTGGAGTTCCTATAGAACGTCACCACGTAGCCCCTAGTTATATAGTATATATAGAGACAAGAGTGAAGCCTTCTTCACTCTTATCAACTCTTTTTTTGTTTCCAGTCTAGTTTCAAGAGTCTTCATGTTTTCTAGTCTTTAGCAATAGCCATTCCACTTTCTCTTTCAATATACATACTTGTTTATTTATATTTTATTACCTTTCTTTGAGTGAAGGCTCACTTATTTGAATTTCTTTTTCATCGAGTTCTTGTCCTTGATACCTTTATAAAGAATATATAAGATTTTAATCGCATGGTTCCTATTGTAGCTGAAAAAACTTGTTTTTTTATACCTCATTTTTTTTGGCAACCATGCTTTTCATTTTGTGATTGTATTGTTTCTTTGGAGAATATTGAGCAATCTATTTAGCTTCTCTAAAATATAAGTATAAGTTCTGTCGATGTTGTTAAGTCTTTTCTTATTTTGTAAGGAATTCAAAATGTATTGTATCAATTTGTATTGGTCTTAGCCTTCATGAATAAGTTTTTGAAAACTTGGAATTTGCCATCATTATTTGGTTTGTTTTTTTTCTTCCAAATCTTTATTCTTGACGTCTTTCAAATAATCAATTATTGCATCTAATGGCTTGAACAATAAATTATTCCAAAGTTTTTGCTTTTGACATTGTCAGTAACAAATCTTTGACATTATCCTTCAACCCATGTCAAAATTGATTGATAAGGGCTTTGTCATTTCAGTCTACATCATAAGCAAGATTTTGGAATTCAATAGCATATGTGGTGGCTAACTATGATCCTTGTTATAAAGATAAGAGCTTGATCTTTGTTATTCTTTTTTTATCATTTTTTCTTAATGTGGATGTAAAAAATTTTAAGGATAAATTCAAATCATAAAAGAATTACAAATCTTTTTCCATTAATAGTACAAACCAAGAAAGACGACTTCCTAATAGAAGTGCGCATATGAATCCAATTTGAGTAAATCAATCAAGCTATTTGAAGGAATGCAATCTTAGATAGAGCTTGGGTTGTTGCAAAAATCCTCAAAATTTTAATCTTGTTCCATCAAACTTCTTACGTATACTAATCCTTATCTCTATTATACTTATAGAAGCAAAACTCCCTAGATTTGGTTACGATGTCAATTTATTTGCTTTGTTTAATTGCACAACTTCTTGCCATAGACTTCGAACTTCTTTCATAGGCATAGGCATAGAACCTCCCTGATTTATGTTAAAAATATATGAGATTTTTATTCTTAGATTATTATTGAATTCATAAAGATCTGTAATAGTTGCAAATCTATTTTTACTTCCACTGAGAATAGCATCTATAATCTTTCCTTCTATAGACAACTCAAAAATATTCAAAAAGTTAAATTAGAGGAGGATAATTTGTAACCTCTAATATCAAATGAAAATTTCCACAAAGAGAGGTAATCCACTTTCTTTTAAGAAAAGATCAATATTATTATTATTATTATTTTTTTGTTTAAAAATAGGTAATTTGCAACCTTCAAAATACAACAATAAAAGTGGAGTAATTCATTCACTTTTAAAATAAGATAAAAATAGTAAATTGGTACATTTATGAAACTATCAAGGATATGAATCTCAAAGAAAGAAAATTCTCAATACATTCTTGTATTATTATAAGGAACTAAAAAATCACTCAAAGATGATATAATATTGAACTAGAATGGCTATTGTCAAAAACAAAACAACGAGAAAGTCTTGGAACATGACCAAGGACTACAAAGGGATTGACAAGAGTGAAGAAGGTTTCTCTCTTACCTCCATATATACTCTTAACTAGGAGCTATGTGGTGATGTCCTATAGGACCTCCAAAACATGTTGACTTTGCAAGACATGTATTTTAACTTACAAAGCAAGTTTTCTACATGTACACCACATAATTAGCTTGTTCCGCAAGCTATCAATATGTGATTAATTTGTTGACCAAGTTTCTAACCTACTAATCAATTACAAATACATGTAAAGTCAAAACAACATCTATAAAGCTTCTAGGAAGCTTTTCTAGAAGGTATAATGAAATTAATCTTCTTTTATCTATTGTTACCTACTTCTACTTAATCATATAGGTATTTACTAGAATACCTATGTATATCAGTGACAATATTCAAATTAAAAAACTTGTAATTTAACTATCAAAAACTTTTGTAGACTTATATTAAATACATTCTTTTTAAGTTATATTCCACACCCAAAAGATTTGATTAAACCAATTTTTATTTGATTTCCAACTACTTCTCACTTAGATAAGTTTTTCTTATTTATTTTTATTTTAAATATCTACTTATAAAAAAGATATGAAATAATTTATAATATGTTTTATATTTCTTTATTTTAGAATTTAAACTACATATATTTTAAAATATGTATAATAGAGCTATTTGCACATGAATTTATCAAGAAATTGATTTCAAATAGTAATGAACCTCAGGGGTTGGAATGGGAGATTGGGGCTAGGAATGGGGATAGGAGGAGGAGACATGAGGTAGATTGGAATAATAATGAGATGGCAAAAGAGGTGTGGCATTAACAAAATGAGGGTGTGGCTTTAACAACTGCTTGTAGATGTATGTATATACACACACATAGATTTCTTCTTCATTGAAGCAAATCACTAAAATTATAATTGTAGTAAACAAAAAGATTTATTTTAAAATACATTCCATGATTGCAATAAAATTTATATAATTGCAGTAAAATTGACATCAATTTCAGTTTAATTGTTTTTGGAATGATGGCTGAGAGCAATAATGAAGTTAAACTTGTCCCATAGTTTGATTTTTGAAACTTTTCATAAACATTACATAGCTTATTTATTTTCTTTACTACAGATTAACTAGGAAATAGAGAAATTGCATGAAAGTATGTACATACATACATACATACATACCAACCTTTGATTTATTTATTTATTATTTTAAATGACCCTTTGTGAAAATATGGAGCTTTGAGGCAGAAAATATCCATAAATAATGAATTTCTAATTAAATGTGAGGCACCAGAAGGATATGCACATAGTTGCATGTTTTTAGAAATAATAAAAAATAAAAGACTAAGATAATTTATTAAAATAGGATTGATAAAATTAGCTTATTCAATAGTTGGTCATTATTCAAAACTTGGACAACTTAAATTTTCAAATACTATTTTCAAACAGAAACAAATTTTATTGTTACACATATTATATACACATAGATATAACAATAAATATTTACATACATAAATTATTGTAATTTAGTTTTGATTTGAGCTTTGCTCCTAAATAAATAGAGGAGTTGAAGATATTTCTTTTGAATGTTTAAGACTAAATGTTTCAATGAATCACACAATGGATGTAAGAATTTGGTTATTAAATTGGGTTGTACTGACCTTACTTCATAACTTAGTCTCTTTTCCTTTGTAGTTTTGTAATGTGTTAAAGTTAATTAAAATAAAAATTCTGTTTTATTATTATTATTATTATTATTTCAAGAGATTTTGTTGATTTTCAACTGTTATCTTCCTTGTAACTTTCAAACCCATTGTCATTGTTACTATAACCATTACGTAACCTAACATTGCTAGGAATCAATTTAGAATCTTGATGTTTCAAACCAATTTTTTTTCTTTCAGATAATTAAAAAATAAAATAAAATAAAAAACAACAACAACAACAACAACAACATCAAAAATCCAAAAATAAGTATTAAAAATATGATTACACATATTTTACATTTTAACATATATTTTTAGAAAAAAATTTAGTCTTAAAATTTTATTTTTGAAGGAAAGAGAAACCACATCTGTGATACCTTTTTTTTTTTTTTTTTTTTTTCTTCCAATACTGTGAAAATACACAAGATGCTTCATAAATACTCAAGACACTTTATAAAGAAATTATTTCCATATTTCAATATTTTTCTATTTCCAGTTTTAGAAAAAAAAGAAATCACTTTGAAGAAAACACACAAAAAGTGGATTCCACTGTAACTAAAAATAATTACAATGGAATTCCACTTTTAGTGTACCAATACGCGGCCATTGGGTTGAGTCACGGTGAAGGGGAGACGAAGCGGCCATAGGGGGGTCCTGATCCTAATCCTCATCCTATGAGGGGAGTGTACCGTCCCAAAGTGAAAGCTCGGCTGGAGCAGCGTGGGACCTGCGATCCGTGAACTCACCATCTCACGCTCCCCCCGCTTGATTCTGCCTTGTGGGTTTTGTTCCTGCGGCGTATGTCCCCTTGTGCCCCGGGCTTTGGTGGCGTTGGAGCCATGGCAGTGTCGATGCTGCGGATGCGCCACAGCTCGATGGGGGACAACGAAGGGAGGGATGGCGTGAGGCTGTCTGCTCGGAATCCCAATGGAGCCTCACCTGCTCTGTACCAGTTCAACCAGGTATGGAATCGTGAGTAATGGGGTGGTGTTTGAGTGAGTGCATCGCTTGGGGTTGGTCGGAAACTGTTCAATTAGAGGGTTTTTCAAAGTGATGCTGGGGATTTCAATTTTAGTTTCGGCGGCATTTCGAGTTGTCTCAGTTGCATTCGCTATGAAATCACGCATTTGGATATAATGTGTGAGGTCGTTTGAGTGTAATGCAGGCCAATTCGCCTGCACGAGCTGGCTACTTCGGAGGTAAGAGGTCGTGAATGTGTTCTTCATGCTCGGGTGTTCTGATTTAGGTTTTAAATTTCAAATTTGGACTTGGGATTGGCTCCTCTTGTTTGAGTTTCTTGTGATGTAGTGTTTCAGAGCGTGGTGTTGAGTTTGAGATGTGGAAAACCTTGCATTGGAATTTTTCAGCTTATGCGAGGCCTTTCTCGAACGTTTCAAAGATGTAACTACATAACGGTGTTGCATGTGCAATAGAGGTTAATACAATCGTCTCTTGCAGGTGACAGTAGGAGAGGGAGGAAAAGAAGAGGCACGGGGAACATGTCTGCGCAAAAATCTCTGCTTTACGTAGCCAACTCTGTTGTTGAGCCTCAGAAGCCCATCAATTTCTTGCGTGTCTTGGTTGGTAAGACATGTGATGCTTTTAAAGTATGTTTTTGAACATGAGTGGTTGGATTCATCTCTCAGCCAACGAGCCTAATTTATCCTCCACTTCCATGTCAATTTGCTGTGATGGGTTTAATTGTTTTTAACTTACTTTTTTATTGCTGGAAACAGAAGGAGCAATAGCTGGAGCCACAGCAGGGGTTGTAGTTGAGACAGCACTTTATCCAATTGACACCATTAAGACTCGTCTACAGGTTAACAATGCACCGTGCCACATATATTTAAATTACAGCATCTTGGGAAGTGGTCTATGTCCTTCTGGTGGTTTGCTTGTTACAGAGGGAATTCATAGTAACGACCTGCATGGGTTTAGTATGCAAAAGATCACTCTGTCCGTAGTATTTTGTGCGCCTTCAAATTTCAGCCTTCTCTCTAGTCTTGAGGATCACGAGGGCATCGTGTCACATTGATAATCTGCAGCTTATGTTGAAACGAGGTAGCGGTTGCAGGCTGCCTGGAGGACGTTCTTATGGAGGGTGTGATTTGAATGGGTGTTAGGCTGCGAGATCTGGCGGGAAGATAGTGTTTAAAGGATTATACTCAGGTCTAGCAGGCAACCTCGCTGGTGTTTTACCGTCCGTAACTTTCCGTACTCCCTCCTTGTATCATTTTGTAGCCACGTTGTTGCGTGTTTTCTGATTGAAATTTATCTCGAGACCTGGCAGTGAGTATAAATGAGCAGTAGCAGTAGCAGTTTTTTTTTTTTTTTTTTTTTTTTTTGTTCTTTTTTTTAAAAAAAATCTTTTTCTGTGGATGTTGAAGTGGTAGTGATCATGATGCTCTTTTTGCAGTTAAGTGATACTGCAGAACATATAATGATTATCATAGCAGTACGACTTCTCATCTCTATGCTTTAACTTAATGTGATACCACAGGGCATCAGCCATTTTCGTGGGTGTCTATGAACCGATGAAAAGGAAGTTGTTGGATATCTTTCCAGACCACCTCAGCTCTGTTGCACACTTGGTAAGGCTGGATACAAGGCTGTGATACAGTTTATTTATTTATTTATTTTAATTCCACGTTATAGAGTAATATGCAAATAGACTCACTTCCTTTTTTTTTAATGTTGTATACAAATGTTTGTTATATTTTGTGACAATGAGGATGTTGAATTGATTTGCCAATCTATGACTTGGGGCTCGGATGTCTACTCATCGGTGTAATATCTGCATTGTAACAGACAGCAGGGGCTGCTGGAGGTGCCACTGCGTCACTGATACGCGTCCCAACAGAGGTGAACAATTTTTTTTTCGATTTGTTGTCAATTTATTGCCGGTTGTATTTAGCTGCGTGATCGCCATTATTTTGGTGCTTATAGTCCTCATATGTCTGGATACGCTTTGTACTTTTCAAATCTCTTGTGATTGAAGTATAAGCGTAGCCTATATACCATATTGTCTGCTTTTGGATTGACCAATTAGACCTGACGTTTTTTTATATGCATGCCTTCTTGGTTGTTTAGTTCCTTGGGTTTATATATGCTCAAAGATCCCATCAATTGTGAGGTTGTGCAGGTTGTGAAACAGAGAATGCAGACAGGTCAGTTCCCATCAGCACACTCAGCAGTCAGGCAGATTTTGGCCAAAGAGGGTGTGCGTGGTCTATATGCGGTATGTGATCTTTCTCTTAGCTTGTCTTCAAGAAATTCCATCACTCTCGTTATGTCCCATTTATCTGCATGTGCAGGAAGTGTACTTCGATTGTACACTCTAATGGTCTTTTTGAATTGCAGGGTTTTGGATCTTTCCTCCTTCGAGATTTACCATTTGATGCTATCCAGTTTTGCATTTACGAGCAGCTTAGATTGGGCTTGAAGAAAGTGGTAAGTTAACTTATGGATAGCTTTTTCAAGGTTGGAACACATCTGTATACGCACAGTTACGATTTTGTTTTAAATCTTAAGAGAAGAATAGAACTAAAAGTGTGTGTCATCACCGGGCTGTTCTATGTATTTATAGTTGCTCTCAGAGGAGTTGACGTTGAATTAATGCTTGTTTTTCACTCTTTCAGGTGAACAGGGATCTTCTAGATCTGGAGACAGCTCTTGTAGGAGCAACCTCTGGTACAGACTCGCATTCGAAAGACGTTTCTACTGTTGTAATTCTTGCGTTCTGGTCATGTGTCTAAGATTGATCTACACATTACGACGAGGAGGTTGTTCATATGTGAAGCTCTCTTGCCCTTTATATAGTCGGTAGTTGAGGTTGACTCGAAGTCATCTCAAGTGGCACCTGAATAACCGACGGTGAAGTTACCACGTCTTTAAAACTTCAACCTTATGCTGGTGAGTAAAATAGGAGAAACACGTGGAAAGTCCTAGTCGTTACCTTTAGTTAGTCTTATTATGTAGGCTGATGTTTCAGTTTTCACGCAGGTGCTATTACTGGTGCAGTGACTACGCCACTTGATGTTATTAAGACCCGACTTATGACCCAGGTAGGTCTTTCGACTCAGTCCATATGGATTTTTGTAAGCATGGCTTGATATGGAATATATGCTTCTGCCACAAATTCTACGTTGTCCATGTGTTATGGTTTTGCATTTGAATTTGAATTAACTATTTGTTATCGACATATTTCACTTACAGGTTTAAGTTGATTGTGCAGGGCGCAAAGGGACATTACAAAGGTATAGGTGATTGTGTATCCAAGATTATTCAGGAGGAGGGTGCGGGTGCACTACTTAAGGTATGTCTCTATTCCCTGTATCTAAGGTATTTATGCAGGTGTGTTCAATCTCAAAATTGGTTTTCATTCCGTAAAGCATCATCCACAGCAGATTAGTGTTAGAATAACAATTCTGCAGTACTTGTTCGTATCTTCCGAATGTTGTTAAACATTGAGTATTATCTTTTGCAGGGGATAGGACCAAGGGTGATGTGGATTGGTATCGGGGGTTCCATATTTTTTGCTGTGCTGGAGAGAACCAAGCAGTTACTTGCAGCTCGAGTACTTCCAGAGGATTTGAAAGATGCAAGACTCGCTTGAAGAGTCGTCGCTTGTAAAAGCTTTTGTTCACCTGCTCTCAATGGTTCAAAGATTTTTTTTTCCTGTCATGTAATCGTCTCTCCCCCTAAACGTTGGTTTAGGCCTCCGAAAATTCCCCAATCATGTGCCTTCTGCTAAGACGCGAGTGTACGTGTGCTCTAAACACTGGGTCATGTGACTTAACTGTGTCCAGAATTGATACGTGTAAGCTCACTAGGGTTCATACTTAGCATCACAAATTCTTTTTGTAAATGTAAGGATTCTGGGCACGGTATCGGACATGGCAACAAGTTTGATGAGATGTTTCACGAGTCCTGCAAAGTGAGCTTATTGGACTCTTCAGGTACTTTACTGTAATAAGTAGTCGATCGATTTCTGTGTTCGCAGACACATCACCAGCAAGGCAGTGTCTCTTTCTTTGAAATTGACGTCAGTATAGCCGGCCCAGAGTTCATTTTGTGCATGGCAGGGGATTTATTGCATCACCCAAATTATTAAATCGCAATGAAAACAGATATAACCAACTTATCGTATTAAAAGATACGGTTATATTGTACACATTCGAATTCATACGAATGCTACACACCATACTCAGTGCATGAAGCTTCCGGAAGAGCAGCAATACAAACCTGCCTTTATTAGAGGTGAAATCTAGTTAAACTTTGACTACCAGGCATCATCTCCGGATACTTTTGGTTTGAATACCCACCTTCGCATGTGAACCATTACAGCTCACACAGTTCGTAACTCCTGTTATGAGCTGATTGCAACAGTTGTCGAGGTTGTGTTTGAAGATCTAATTCAGCCATACCATCCAAACAGAAAATTGCTTTTAGAACCATGGACGTAAGTTTACCCTGTAAGTATCATAGAAGGGCGGAAAGAAGATGTTGAATCAAACGGTACTACTGTATGTCTGGAGAAATTTTAGCCAAACAGAATGGCAATTAGTGTTGAGTCTTGGCTTGTTCCATAGTTATTAGAGCAAAATGTAAAGGTCCACTAACAGCTTGTAAACAGTGGGGTCTCATATTTTACAGTGCCGCAAACATGTTTTACTTGACGTTGTGGGTCACATTTTTGGTCTTTCTCTTCAGGCCTTCCAGACAGTATCACCAGTCTGCTCTTGAGTTTTTGGAACTACATCGTTTGCCATGCTCTACATCCATCCAATGATACAATGTTAAGTGTAATGTTGAAAGTGGCGACTCAGCTTTATGCATGCTTGACTTAGTAGTTTTATTAGATGCACTCTAAAAAAACTAAGCCTGTATAAATAAAATAGATAAGAGTTCAAAATTTATCCTACATTGGCTGTATATTATTCCAAATTTTTGCTTAGTTTCCTGTATATTAGGAGGCATAATAAATATAAATAAAAGTATAAATAGATTTAAAAAAATATAATATATTAAAAAATATAATGATTTCATGATAAATCTTGTATAATAAAAAAACAGATAACTAATTCACACCCAATATTTATTTCTAATATAGACAAATTTCTCATTTTAAAATAATTTTGAACAATAGTCAAGATAAAGCATATTTAAGTTTTTATCAATTTAAGAAGTGATTTCTATTTAAGGTCTCTATTTTTTTAAATAATAAAAAATATTTAAAGGAATTATATAACCTATTTATATAATTTTTAACTTTTATGTTAAAAAATATTTAAAATATGTACTTCATTTTTATCTTATACTTAAGAAAGAATAGAAATAATGGAAGAAAGTGCCATTTAAAAAATACATATGAATTTAATAAGAAAAGAATTTAATAAGAAAAGAAAATCAATATCGAGCAAGTAAATAATACATAGAAAGATTGTACACAAGCTAAAATATCACACCAAAGAATTGAATTTGGTAAAGCAATATTTTGTCCCTTTGTAATGACTTCTAAATTTTAAAGGTAAAATATTAAAGCAATTAAATTCTGATAATTTTGGCTCTATTTTTAAACACTCTATTTTTTACAATATGATAGTTATCATTGTAATATTTAAAAATAAGATATATGATACTTAAAAATTATTTATTGCATCATAATATAGAGATATAATATTATATCTACTAAGTTATGGTATTGGTTTGTATCCTAGGATAGAGCTCATGGAAGGTTATAATTTAATTTAGTACCATTGTCATCAAACCACCTTATTTGCCCCACACAAATTTTGAGCATTTGAAACATGTATTGAACCAATGACTTGCTTCACTAATGTGTAATTATTGTAAATTTGCAAATAAAAGGATGCAAATACATTGAGTTCTCAAACATCCCTTGCTAAGTGAGCTAAGGTTGAGTTTGGTCTTGAAAAAATCCATCTCAAGTTGTTATTACCAAGATTGTTAAGAAATACAATGAGTAAATATTATTGACATCTATTATCACCAATATATATACTCAGATTACTATTAACAAGTAGAATTAGTTAAAAGTATATTATTATCTTATTGCAAAGTTTCTTAGAAGCTTGAAAGACAAATATTTGTCTATATACATATTGGTAAGTGATTGATAGGTTAAAAACTTACACAATAAGTTGGCCACATGGTACACATCAAAAATTGGTTCAAGTTAGATACATATCTTAGAAGTTGGACACATACCACATAGCCTATAAGATATTGTCATATAGTTCTTTAGCTAAATAATATATATAAAGTCAAGAATCATGTCTTCTTCACTCTTATCAAAGCCTTTCCTGCTTCTATTATAGTTTTAGGAGTCTTTGATGTGTTTATCTTTAAAAATAAATATTTAAGTTTATTCTTCTTTGTATAAATTTATATGTTTTTTTGTTTTGTTTTTTGCTATCTCTCTTTTGTCATATAAAAAAATATTGTTATATACAACACATCAAGTGTCATCAATTAATCACAAAGTATGTAGCTTAAACCAAATACAAATGTTTAATCAACCAAGTAACCAAACTTGTACCAATGCTTGCACAAAGCTCCATAAGGGCAGTACTCTCATCTCATGGATGCCAATGAATTGGATGAACAAAAGCAGGTAACATGGAATGATTTGGTATGTTCAAAAAATATAATAAAGATATAATCTGTTGGCATTGCCAACATAATTTTGTATGTATTTTCCATGGAGAAGATGAATCCTTGCAGTGTCTTGCATGAACCTCTAAGGATATTAATGAAGATTGTGTATTTTGTATAGGCCACTATAGTAAAAGTAGATAACAACAAATTTCTTGTGGAGTCTTGAGTAGTGAAGCACAAACTATTTAAACAACATTTTCAGACCATCTATTAATAAAAATTGAATGTAATATAATTTGGATGTAGTTTCTGTTCATACTTAAGAAAGATATAAAGTGCAAAATAGCAGGGATTGAATAAATGTGGCTACCGGGATTCGAGCCTAGGTCTCCATGGCCACAACGTGATCTTCATACTTCTGAACTACAGCCACCAACTTAAGACCCTTCTCCAATCAGGAAACACCCTAAGCTTCCTCACTTTACTTTTTAGGCCCCACTAAGATTCGAACTCGAGTTTTTGGATTCAAAATTCAAAGCAGCAACTATTGGACTATGCAGCCGCGGAGTTAGGCCCTCTTCGAATATCTAAAGCGCTTTGATAATCTATATTAATAAATAAAATACGTAATAATTTTATAATTTTTCAAGTAATTTTTTTGATATATTTAAAAATATAATTAAATAGATTAAAATATAAAAATATCAATTTATTTTAGCTTTTTTAGTATGATACAAATTAAGTTTACAGTCTAAAATTAAAATATATACAAATATAACATATTCAAATCAAAAAGTAAAAATCAGTTACACTACATATATGATAACATTTAGATGCACAATAAAAGATGACAAATAAAAGTATAATCAATATGTAAAAATATAAATATTCTATTTTTTCAAGATAAGATATTAAATTGTATTTTTGTGTGTGCTACCCTATTATATTACTTTTGAAAAATAAATAATACAACAATTTTTTTTTTCATAATAAATAGTTTGAATTCAGAATAATTTTCTTACAAAAAACAGATTGATAAGAAATTATATAGTCTAAATTTGAGTAAGGTTGTTAAATTTATTGTTATGAGTACTTTATAAAGTTTAAAAATATTCATGTTAAAATTAATTACAATATGTAAAACTCTTTAGAAGAAATGAATAGATTTTTAAATTTTTATATTAGATCGGACACAGAGAATTCTGCAAACATTCTATGAAGTTGCATACCTTTGGTCTTTCTGGACAATCTAATTCTCTTCAATAGGATAATCTCCATTGTAATTTAAGTTGTAGTACTAAACATTTATAACAATCACAGGGAGCCACACTTTACAAGATTTTGCCTTCCTACAAATGGTACAATATTGCCTTTTGTGTACTTCATTGACACATGTAATCCATTAAATCAAGTATTTTACATTTACAAATGTGTATCTTATTTTTAGGGAAGATGTTTGTGTAAAGCACACTAGCAGAGACCAAGTGATGTCACTAAATTGACATTTATTTCTTACCGACCTTCATTATCTGCACATCTATTTTAGTGTGTATTTATAGATACGATATATCTAAAGGATTTTATTTGTGAAATATAGTAGGTCAGATGAAATAATTGAAATAGGTATCCTTATGGTATGGAGTGGTTCTGTTACAAATTGAGAAGGTGGTTGCGATGGTGAGTGCTTCAATTAGAAGAAAAAGTCTGCGTAGTATTTGTTGAAAGTTTAATGTAGTTGGTAATTCAAACCGCCGAATATCATACTACGATTAATTCTGCAGAGGCTATTTCACTATCCTATTCGGTTTACACGTTAGTATAGCGTTTAGTGAGAAAAGTGTCCAGGACTGGTTTTATCAGTTCCTAAAGTTCGTACCCTTCAAGTTAATTTCCTTCAATGACGCATTTGTTCTAGCAACAACACTTTCATTTTAACACACTTCCATTTCAAACTCCTGGTTACATCTTTTCTTCGGACGAATTTCACACATGTTCATATAGTTTGTACCATATTTCGGAAAATGTTAATATTAAATGTTCTCAGGCACACTGTTTCACATACACTGTTATTGAATTCGAAGTTTAAAAACAAGCTCACCATAACGACGCACACCAGAGAGTGGCGGTTAGCTCTAACATGCAAATCCTGCTAACACCACCACGCCTGGAAAAGACCCATCCTTCTAAAAAGCCTTCGATTGTCGGGACAAAGACCACACAGAAGTAACAGCTGAACAAACACACTGCGACAGCTACTCAAGACAGCGAGGCGCTGACTCCACATCAGCACCAGCAGTATTCAAGGTCACACTCACAGCCGATTACAAAATATAAAAAGCAGAAACTCAATCCACTCGCCTCGATAATTGTACAGAACACCCACGATAGGGCACTTCTACCAAGCCATAATTCAGCATTTGAAACCCCGAACCGGCTTTCCCCAACATGAGCAACGACGATCAGGCGCAAGGTGTTCCAAAATGCAACTACATTTCACCAAATTTAAGCCGCCTTCTTGGCAATCTTCGCTTCCTCCTGTCTTGCCTTGATAAAAGAGTACAACGCCACTCCTCCAATAGCAATGGCTGTTCCGATCCCAGTCTGGGTCGAGATCTTGTTGCCTGCAAACCACCAATCCCGCCGTTACAAACCTTCTCACAACATCACTCCACTCTATTCCATTCTCCATACCCAACTCCTCCATCAACATTCCAACACGCCGCCACCCGTCCCCGCATCATCCTACACAACTCTGCTGCATGTCCCAACCTCCCCCTCACTCCACAAACACAACCACTTTGTCCACAAACTCACCGAACACCACGATGGAGAACCCGATCACAAACACTCGCTTCAACACGTTCCCCACGGCATGAGTCAGGGGAGCAACCCTTTCCAATGTGTTGTTAGCAAGCTGCACAACCCACCGCAACTCTTACTTCTCTTACACAACAAAAGCCACCAACATTCCATGACGCCTCCTGGCAAACTCGCCCCCTCATTCCACACTATCAGATGCAAGTCAAAACCAGACCCTTTAAATCCCTACGCCGCACTTAAGAAACCTATAGATCCGATAAATCGACATACCAAAGCCAGCTTAATCTTCATCAGTACTGTCATTTTCATAATTACTGAATCGTAAGGGTACGGCATGAATCCATACCTGGTTGTACAGATGATAGAACATACCAACCCAGAACAAGTCTGACAAGAACTTCTGCATGCCAACCTTTGTAATGGCATCCGAAAAGCCGGAGTTCAAAAGTGCGGGGCCCTCAATCTGCAATACAACAGACGACAACCCACTATCTTATAACCAGAACACCGGCACTCATGCCACTGCATAAACGTTCGTGTCAATTTATTCAACCACAACTAAATCACCCCAAATACATAGGCCCATAAGTTGCTCGAGTGAGCATATTCATCGCAACCCAATCACTCCAGGTTTCCAATTCTCACAATGATCGCAGGTGGAATGCACAACGCCAACGAGATGATCGAGATGTACGCGTACAGGTTCGTGCTGTCCATTCCCGTCTGCACATCACACCACCATTGCTTCATGTCAGACTCACTCCCACACATTTCCCATTTCACCCTACCAACACCCGAACTACCACCCAACCCGCAACCCCCGTCCAACCTACTCCCACACTCATCACTTCCCTCACCACCTCCACCATCGCACCATTTCTCCCACAACATCATCGCCACAAACCCTACCACATGGGACTTCGCCATTGAACACAGCTGTGCATCTCAACTCAAACATTACCACCTCCCCACAGTCAACGCATGCCTGCATCTCTGCATGTTGCCACCCCACCCGTTCCTCGACCACACATCATCCTCATGTCCGTCACCCCCCGCGCACTTACCATGGCCTTCTTCGAGTAGATGTTCCTGTACGTGAACGCCACATTCGCCGTCATCGCGCTGATGAAACCCTTCCAGTTGAACGACAGCTCCGTCATCGACGCCATCGACACACCTGCCCATGTGCATCCCCACCAAGTCATCATTACCATCGACATCTACCACCACATAACCACCCCCCTCAAACAACTGGACCCATCCGCTCATCATCTGTGCTTCAGCTACTCCATTGCACAGTCCCACCTGCCTCGAAACATCAACATACTCAGGCCCGGGATTACTTACCGAGCACGATAGGTGTCAGGGACAACCACAGGGGCAGAGAGATCGACTGTCCCAGAACGAACTGCGATGCCGCGGCGCTGAAGAACGGCTCCAAAGCTGTCAACACAACGTCCGCACCTCTCAGCACCACAACCCACAGACAACATCCCACCATCACGCTTCCTCATCTCCTACGCTGCGACACACCACATATCCTGCCATGCGCTTCTACCATATTCGCTCTCATCCCCGCCTGCTTCCCACGTCACTCTATCCCTCCACTCGGAACACAAACCATCAACACTTGCAACTGACCCGCATGTTTCTATGCACACGTCCATGATCCAACGACATTTGTATCCCTCTTACACTTCCTTACCCTTGATCGTGTGTGTGAATGACACTGCAACTGCAGCGAATGACACGTTCGTCATCACGTGACCCAGGGCATGACAGATAGACACCGGAATCAACATCATAAATAGCTCCTTGTCAATAGGCTGCACCCACATCCACAAACATCCACCATCGTTAGCACTCCCTCGCACACCCGATCATACCGTGACGACAACCGCCCTTCATCAACACACTCATCAACCAACTAATACACACCCAGAGGGAGGCCACTGCACATTATCATCATTAAGACTTCTGCACTGAACTGATGCACCTCAACCCCACCACTTCGTACACATCACTTGCATACCGCATTACACCCACATTCGACTCATCATCGACTACAACTTCACGTGACCTCCACTCTGCTTTTTTACAGGTTCCACGTCAAAATCGCGCATTCTCAACTCACCGCTCGCTTCGGATATCCCAACATCCACGAAATCAGACAGTAAACAACGCCGACTGCCAGATGGATGGCGGAGACAAAGCTGCATGCAACAGGGACCCGTAGTGTTTCAGCCTTCGACAACAAAAGCACCCACTAAAAATGTCATGGCGCCGACTCAACAGCTACCTTACAAAATCGCTACCCATCAATTCACTACCTATTTGCGACGTGCATGAAGATAGTCAAACCTAAAAACTTCGTCCAATGCTGCAACAGCAAAGATAAGATCCAATGGTCATTCTCAAATATTTTGATACCATAAACGCACATGAGGACTTACTAAGGGTAGGGAAAGTAGTTGTAGATCTTCTTGTTCATGATGTTGAAGATAACATTCAGGAAGTACCTGACACACAACAGGCATCACGGCATCATAGCCCTGAAACTCTAGACAACCACAAAAAGAAGGGAATGCATCTCATGATGCATATTCAAACAGCGCAGCCACGGAGCGGCAGCTAAGCATTCAACACAAGTTTATTGACGGAAGTGGAAGGCACAGAGTTAATGGAAGGGTATGCCTGGAGGATTATGAAATGACGATGAAAGAAATGGATGGAGCAATTGGCCAATAGTAGTGCAAACGAGTAGAATGTGTACCAGGCGAAGAAGAAAAATCCAGTGACCAAAGCGGGATACTTGGCAAGGAAACCTTGAGCCTCTTCCTTCTTCTCCTTGGCAACCCTGCACAATGATCAATGTATGACTTAAAACTATTAATAGGTACTGTGTAAGCGGATGAAACTTATATGAAACTCGACCGGATGGAAAGATCAGAGCTCGATTGCCTGTCAGTATGAGAAGGGCAGAATCACCACGGTTATGTTGCAAACCAAGAGAGTTGAGGCAACAAGTACTGGTTCGAGAAGAAATCAAACTCGTGTGGGAATACTTTATGCCAGAGTAGGTTCAGTTGTCGTACTATATTAGAACCCAGGTACCAGTAAGGCACTCAACCATATAAGTGCTTGTACAAGCAAGGATCTTCTCGAGGTGAGACAACCAGGTTGACAGGATCAAGATTTCCGAATGGCACGCGTTCTACATTGACGTAAAATTTGCAAGGCCTTCACTATCATTCTCCATGCCGCTCACAATTATATTACACTATTTGCACACGAGTGGCATCTATCCAAGACTAGGATAGGCACCCGGAAGAATAATCCCTCGATAAAACGATTCCTGGTTGCGATGTAGCGTTTGGAGCTGAAACACAAGTAAGGCGTCTCCAGCTACTTCTACGACTCACTGAGTCACTGGAACCTATATGTTCCTGGCTGCCTAAGCATACAGTCTAACCAATTCATGTTCTTAACACAGAGACTTGCCAACATGAATAGGGTTTGCGTCTTCGAAGTTCACTAATCAATCCTGTTGCTTTTCAGGGAAAAGTGTACACAAAGAGAATTTTCACTCGGAACCACAATTACAGTTCATGCTAGCTTTACTTGAGTCTGCCTTCGCCAGTACGAAAACAGTGCCAAATTTCATTCCAACAACTGATTCGACCTCGATTCCTTGACAGCTCCAGAAGCATTAGATTGAAGTAAACCACATCTCGGCCAGAGCACCCAAGTATAAAACCGCCAGTGAAGCGCCAAGGGACTTAAACATCTTCATTTGGAAGAAAAACACTCAACGAGGAAGAAGAATAAGCTACATAATTCTGTCACATTACGAATTCTTTGTTCCCAGAATCTGGTCCTTCAATCCGATGAATTCTGAGCATTAAATCTGTCCAGATGTCAGATAATGGGAGCGAGTGGACACCACGGTCCGTCAAGAACTCAATTCTGAGTCGCCACACTCCGACGGAAGGCGAGAATCGTCCACGCACGATGGCCGCAGAGCAAAACAAAAGAAACGATCAATTCCAGGATACAGACTCAAAAAGCCGCTTACTCTGCAGGGTCGTCTCCAGAAGAGTCCGACGCACTCGCCATGCACACCGTCGACCCGACATTCCTCCTCACATTCACGCCGCTCACGTTCTTCAAACTAGAGCTCTGCAACAACGGGTTGAACTCCAACGCTCGCGCAACCGAGGACCTGGCGAGGAAAGACGATCGCAGGGCAGGCAGCTTGGCAGTGATCTGGCTGGGAGATCGCCATGCGGGCTGCGTCACGGCAGCGACGGGTTTAATCGAATTCCTAACCCCAGAAGCTTCGATAGAAACGGACCGAGGCCCGACGACATTGAAGCCAAGGGCGAACGCAGAGCCGACCACTGCTGCGGTAGCCGAGGCAGCCATGGATTGTGGACTCTTTGCAGAGAGCGGGGGGGCGTTGCGGAATGGAGGCGAAACCAATGCTGCTGCTGCTGCGACCTCACAATTGCTTAGCCTCCGATCTCCGCACAGGCAACTATGGCACCTCCCTGCCCCCTTCCCACACTCCTTGGGGCGTCGCTCTCCGCCCGGCCCCCGGCCCGCGTTGCCCGTCCCCCGCGATTCCGATGGGCAGCACGGGCAGCTTGGGCAGCGACCCAGTTGTCCTGAGCCGTCATTGGTGGACTTGTAACAGGACACTCTGTGATTGGTTGTGACCTCGTCCAGAATCCACATAGGGGATCGCATCATCCTAAATAGAATGGGCGGGGGTGGATCATCTTATAGCTTGAAATGATTGGATTGAATTCCATTTTTAGAAGTAGAATGTAATAAATAAAATAAAAATAAAAAACCCATGCTGAAATTAATAATTAACATGTACGAATAATAAGAGAAACATATAATTAACATGTATTAATAATTTCAAAACGAAGATTTTATGCCTTCATTAAACCGAAATGGAAATTGAAAGGGTTAAAAGGAAAAAAGGAAAAAAGGAAAAAAACTGAAATAAATTATTAATTTATTTGGATATAATAGGACTTAGAAAGCCAGATGGAGCTTGAACCCCAGTCTGGGAATGGACTTTGGGTGGAATTCAGGCTCACGCACCCTGAGTTTGACCCTGAGTTTCAGCGCAGCCAATCTGCTCCCACTCCTCGTCCTCCCACCAGCTACCAGCGCCGACGATTTGTCGATGGATCGCGCGGTGCCGCAGTTCATCTCCTCGTTTTGTGTCGCGGACGCAGACACTAATTGGGCGGGTTGGATTGCGACACCAAATTATCTTGTGGGCGGGTGGGCGAAGACGCAACCAAAAGCAGATAACGAGCATGCATCCTGTGACGCAGGAGCGTTGCTTTGATCGCACGAGATGTGGCTGCGTTTTCTCGGCGACGGTCTGTGAATGAGAGCCAAACGGAGAGAGGGAGCGAGAGAGCGGGGGAAGATAACACGAACCTCGATCTGCATGCAGATTGCACATCAGGATCCCTAGAATGCGCGCCCGCTGCGAAATTCGTGAGCAAAGTTTGTAGGCATGGCATCCTCCGTCTCCGCCTCTCTCTCGCGGGGCTGAATCCCGCAGCTGCAAGACTGCCTGCAGATTCGATCTTGCTCCCACCGCCGCCACTCGCCCTGTGAGGCGCAATTTCACGTTCCCGTCGTTGAATTCACACATATGTTCACATATTTATACATATACACACACTCACACTCACATGTTTTTGCTTACTTGTGTACAACTGAATTTTTTAAAATAATATTTACCTTGAATTTAACATAATTGCAACTTTTGTGATAATCCCACAAACCAAGCAAGTAAGCTAACAAACATGTCAAATAAATGCTATTATATTAAAATGTTTTGGACTGTATTATTTAAAATTTACTACTATTATTATTTTTAAAATGATTTTTTTAAAAGTATAAGTATTTTTTAATTCATATATATATATATATATATATATATACACCTTCATAAAATAATATAAAGTGGTTTTTTATATTAATATTAATATAATCACATTTGATAAAAAAAGTAATAAGATGATAATATTATAAATAATATTATTTAAAAGAATTCATAGACTACATTTTAAAATTATGTCTTTATTATTTGGTTTTCAAAATAAATTTAATAGCGATAAGAATGAATTTATTGAATAAAATTGATATGAACCAACATGTTTGTTTTCCATGAGCTGAAATCCAAGTGTCTTCACAAGTATTGACAAAAAGAATATACATATACAAGCAAGTCAAAATCCAAATAAACGGATTCATCCAATTAGAGCTAAGTTGTTATACAAATAAATATGCACTTCATGGAATTAATGAGGTAGGATAACAAGGATTGTAATATATATATATATATATATATATATATATATATATATATATCTTTAATATTCTCCCTTAGCTTGAGCATGTCTTTTGTGTTTTATTACATCCCTAGTTTTCAATAGCCTTCTATCTTCAAAGATATTGTAACAGGGTATAAATAAAGATATTTATATTGTTGATACATAAAAATAGATAGTTGGAATCATGTTTTAAAAGTTATGGAAATTTTTAGAACTGAGGCTAGATTAGTGGACTATGTAGAATCTATTGTAGAACATTCTAAAAAGAGCTTAAGGCAGTTATTTAGATGGAATCCACCATGGAACCTTCTAGAAAGGGCTTAGGGCGGTTATTTAGGTAGAAGTAATCATAGAACCTTCTATAAAGAATTTTAGGGAATTATCTAAGTAGGGTTTATCATCTAAGAACATTCTAGAAAGTCCAAGGTGAAGAACAAGATATAAATAAGACTAACCAAGGCCTTTTGGGCATTTGGTCAAGTATGGCTTTGAATCTTTTCTCTTAATAAAATTTGGTTTTGCATCTTCCTATTTAGTGCTATTCTATTTCATTGCCATTTGCTCAGTTTTGTCTTTTGTGTCTTATTTTGTTGAATTCTGTTCAATTTTGTTTTGGTCCATTCTGTCTTATTTTGTGATGAGATTTTATGTTGTTATGAATTAAAAGGGTCTTAGACTATAGAGATAGACTAATCTTGTTTTATTGATATCAGAGCGAGTATTAGACTATTCTTTTGTAGTGTGTTAATAGTCATCATCTCATTTGAAGTTAATTGTTGTTGTCACACTGAGTATTGTGTTGAAGCTACGATGAGCTACTCTTTAAAAGTCAACTAAAATATGAGAAGGTATTAGAATAGTAGAGTCTAGCAGAGAATTACAGAATGGAAGATATGGGGGAGCAATCCCAAATAGAGGCTTAAATACAAAACTTCTTAGGCCAGATAGCTACTTTACAAAGACAAATAGAAGCTTCTAGAACAAGGGAGTCAACATTACTAGGCTGAAATTAAATAAGCCTAGTACATACTTTGGAACTTCAAAGCAAGAAGATATATGTCAATGGCTCTTCAACATGCAAAAATACCTTGAACTATTTGGGGCAAATACCACTGAAAGAATTATGTATGTAGTCAGATATTTGCGAGATGTGGCATCCATTTGGTGGCAACATTGAGTTTAAAGTTATGGAGTTCAAGGTAGATTTTGTAATTGGAAGGAGTTTGAGACTGAGTTTAAGAATCAATTTTAGCCCATCAATGTGGAGAAGATAGTATGCGATTAGTTGGCAAATCTAACATAATTTAGGTTATTGTAAGATTATGTCTCCCAATTTAAGTCCCTATGTCTCCAAATTGGGAATGTTTTAGAGGCGGAGATGATAGATTGATTTCTATGAGGTTTAAAACGTGGAGTCTAGCAAAAGATCAAACTAAAGGATCTACAAACATTTGAAGAGGCAATTAGGATTCCAAAGAAGCTTGATGCTATAGATTTTAGATATCATGGAGCATGATCTATAGCACAAAGTCTTAATCCAATACTATGGTACAACAACCAACACCAATGGAGATTGATGTCCTATAAGGAATATTGACACCACAAAAACAACAAATATTGGTGTAAAAAAGATTGTGTTTCTATTGTCAAGAATCAGGCCATTAGATCAAAGATTGTCAAAAACATCAAAATTCAAGTACTAACAAAATAAGGCAAGTTTACAGTTTCAAGACTCACCAAATTAATAATGAGATAAAATATAAAAACAAGGCTCCACAATAAAGGTGCCAAGAGCTAGTACTATAGATAACTACCATCTCTCAAAGACAAATGACATGGCCTCAAACAACTATAAAAAGAGTTAAGTAATACATCTCACATGACTACTAATAAGACAACCATGTCAAGTGCTTGTGGATTGTGGTTCTACAAAATATTACATCTTGATTGAAATTTCCAACTAACTTAGGATTAAAACTATGGTAATCAAAAGAGAGAGTATATATCTTATAGATGATTGAGAGAACACATTAAGTGAGACATGTAAAGAAGAAACCTTCAAGTTAACTGATACTTACATCTTAAGAGAGAGGTTCAAGATAATAAAGCTAAGATATGATATTATCCTTAATATGTCATAATTAGAAATAAAAAATAAGCAAGTTGACTAAGTACCAAAGAGAATCTCCTTCAAAGATGGTGGATAGAAGATGACTCTTTGTACCTCTATATCGAATGAAGAAGAAAAACAATCTACAAGTAAAGACTTACTTATAGGGATGACCTTTATGAAGAAGCAAATATAATATAAACAACTCGTATATATGGTGGTTCCAAATCTTGCATTAGTAGTGGGAAAGATAGCCAAAGGAGTAAAATAAGCAGAGTAACTTACACGGGAATATTAAAATATCTTTGCAATCGACCTACCTAGTGGCGTGTTTCTTGATCAAGGTGCCTACTTTCAAATAGAACTATTTCTTAGATCCAAACCAATAAGTCAACTAATTTATTGCATAGTACCAAATGAACTTAAAGACCTACAAAAGACATTAAATGAAATCTTGAAAAAGGATCTCATTTGAGAAAGCACATCTCTATGGGCAACACTTGCACTCTTTGCACCCTAAAAAGATGAAGAACATTGGCTTTGCATTGATTATCGATGCCTCAATAAACAAAATATTAAGAATATATATCTACTTCCATGAATGGATGATCTTCTTTATCAACTTTAAGATGTGACCATTTTTAGCAAATTAGATCTTTGAAGTGGCTATTGGCAAATACCTATTATAAGAGAGGATATTGAAAAGATAATATTTTGTATGTACTATGGACATTTCAAATGGCTTGTTTTATCTTTTGATCTCACCAATGCTCCAGCATCTTTTATAAGTCACATGAATAAATTATTTTATGACCTTTTAGACAAGTATATAGTTGTCTTAATTGATGATATCTTTATATATAATAAAATTCCTAAGGAGCATGAATAATACTTATGACATATGCTCTGCCAGCTACAAGATAATGACTTCTATTTGAAGCTATCAAAATGTAAACTTTGGAAGTCAGAAGTCATCTTTTTGAGGCATGTGGTGTCTTTCAAAGATATGCGCATGGAATAGAATAAGGTAAAAATAGTGGATGATTGGCCAACCACAAAGGATGCTTTTGAAGTCTATTCATTTTTAAGCCTTATAGGATATTGTTACCTTTTTATTTGACAATTTGCACACATTATTGCTTCATTGATAAATCTTTTTGAAGAAAGGTGCTCGATTTGAATAGAAACTAGAGCAACAAAGCATTTTGATAGGTTGAAGGAGGCACTTATTATTGCTCCAATATTGCCACTGTATAATTTCAACTTTCCTTGTAC